TATGGCTTGTGAATGACTTTGCTTTCTGAATCTTCAGGCAAGGTTTAATAAATCATAAATAATTTATCACCATACATACTGTAGGAATACTAAGTTCTACTTATTAAAGCATGTTTGCATGGGCTATGATAAGAAAAGGAAAATAACTGGACACTATTCTACCATTCTATAAGATACATAGAAGTAAGAGAGCCAGAGTCTTCAAAAGCAGGAACAATCTATCTTAGTCTGGGTAAGAGTATGCTCTCTAAAATAATGACAGTGACCTTGGTCAGACTAGTGATTGACTTTGCTGTTTTAGAAAATTACAAATACTTAAAGTATGAATAACTAGTCCTCCGAACTTACATTTGCTAATCTCATTTTTCAAATACCTGAGGGCCATTTTATAAATGTGCAATGCAAAATGATAACTAACTTATATAAAGGACTTGTTATATTATACATTGTTAAAAGTATCTAATAATTATGAAATTATTTCATCTTTCTGTTATCTCCATGAGTAGGAAATACTATGCCCCTTTTGTAGATGTGGAAATAAAGGAACAACAAAGTCAATCACTAGCCTAACTAAGGTCACCATGTCCACGGAAGCTTCCCACTCCATAGTTCAAGTGCATACCACAACCCTGCTGACTATTAATTGCCTTTGTTGTGTTTAGTGATAAGGAAGCAGATATGTTGACTAATGAAAGGAAAAGGGGGTATGGTTCAGTGGATTAAAGTGCCAAACAAGCATGAGGATCTGAGTTTGAATCCTCAGAATGTATGTAACGGTAGGCAGTAGCTACCTTGAGATCTCTCTCTTCCTTCACCCCAGAGCTCCTACTATGGGAAGATGGGAGGTGAAAAGAGAAGGATTCCCAGAAGGTGTGGGCCAGCTGGCCTGGCATAGAGTAGTGAACAACAAAGAGAATCTGCCTCAAACAATGTGGAAAGGAAGCACTGAACATGCACATGTATACACACACACACACACACACACACACACAGAGAGAGAGAGAGAGAGAGAGAGAGAGAGAGAGAGAGAGAGAGAGAGAGAGACATTAAAAGAAAAAGTAGCGATGCATCCTCTTAGTCCAACTAGAGGTGTTTCCTATTTGTCTGGCTGTGAGATGGGCTCATAAACACCCTCCAGTCTAATGCTCAGAGAAGTCCTGGAGAGCAGAAGCCAATGAATGGACTCATGACACCCATCACATATGGATTAACTGACACTCAGAAACCATATGGCTTCCACCAGTTCTCCCAGTTTTGAATTGTTGACTCAGACATCAGCTTTGCCAAGTCCTCTGCTGTTGATAGCACACAACTGCTCTTCCTTTATAAGTGATGCTCCTGTATGTATTTGAAAAACAATACTAAACCAGAAATATTAACGGTGATTCATGTTAGAAGAAGATGTAACAGAATCTGCTATCACACCCCATACTAGAGACATAACATTGATATTTGAGCTATTTAAGATAGTAAAGCCAGTTGGACTAGGCAACTCTGGCTATGAATGTTTTTAGGCATCTGCATTTTTTAACCAGATTTAGATATAGAGTTTTATACAGGGCTTGTCAAAGTGCAATGTGTAAAACAGATCATTGTCTGAGCACAATGGAAACCGAAGTAAACAGCATGAGTGACTCTGACAATCTAACCACTGCTAGCCACACCCACTGGCAACCCTCATTAAAACCACAAGAAGACAATGGAGTAGCTTGTGTTGAAAGAATATTTAAAAATAAACTGCAAGTTCTTGCCAAGACATGGTAAAAGACAGACTCTTGATAAAAAGCTAATGAATTAAAAATACCTAAGCTTATGTAAGGGGATGTGTTTCATTCTCATTTTGTTCAGGGGGAAAATGTTTTGTTTTGTTTGTTTTTTATTTTTTTCTCCATGCATTCAACATTTTTCCTCTTTTCTGATTCCTCTGTAGAAACCACTCTTGGTGAGAAATGCTTCTAGAGTGTAAACCAGGAGTCATATCCATGTGAACTTGAATGTTATCTGCCAATTGTTACTATAACCTATCAGAACAAAAGTAAAGGTTTTCATTTTACTCTTGGGGTTAAATGAGATACAATAGTTCTTTATGCAGTCACTCTTTCATATTTTCTTTGTATCAGGTTCTATTCTAAAACATGCTAACCTGAAACACTAGTGAACAAAATAATCCACAGATCATCCACTGAAATAAGTACCAGAATAAGAGAGTGCCTATCGTAATTCATGATACCACTGCTTTTTTTTTTCTCCCTATCACTTCTTCTGAAGGTATTGGTTCATTGCCATTTGAGGGATGTGGATCCCAGATAATCCAGATGAATTTATATGAGCACCTACCTTTGATCCTTGGTAAACATTCTATTGAAAACAAAAGTAGCAGTCAAAAGTGTGTTTCAAATGAGTCCCTCTGCACCAAGTAACTGCTTATTCATCTATATTTGCAGATGTCTGGGGTAGGCGGAGCAAAAATCAGTGACAACAAACAAACCACACAATGATGCAATCAATCCTGACCGACGTCTGATTAGCCTGCTCCTCCACATGAGCTAAAAGTAACATACTTGAAGAAAATGATAATTAGTCAATAATTGTTATCAATTTAGTACACTTACTTCTTTCTGTGAATGTGAATCAGGCTTCTTCCTAGAAATCTATGACCCTGCTGCAAACTCAAAATGCATTCATTTACACACTGCTGAGGGAAAGGTAAATAAAAGGAATGGATTTCCGTGGGTGTTACTAAGAAAGAAAAGCCAGAATTCCATAGCTACTTGCAAATATGAAGAAGAGAAAGATATTTAAAACTCATGGAAATACCAAGAGTCTTGGGCTTTGTTCTACGGTAGTTTTGTTTCTGTTCCTGCAAGGAAATACAAAGGCAAGCATAAGAATTCTGTAATTTTAGTACTGCATGTATTGTTGAAGCTGTATTAGTGAAAATGGATGAGGAAACTTACAAGCTTAATTGCAATGTGAAGACATGAGACAAAATGTAGAATTACTGCTGTTGATCTAGAAATGGCAACCCAAGCATTAGAAACAATATCTGTAATAATGGCTCACTCATATTAACTGCATTAAAGCATGATGAATATGGTAATGCTAAAACCAATATAAAGTATTGCAATTTCCTTGACACGCATAATTAGGATTATTATTAAACAAAACACCACAAAACTGGAATCAGGCTTATGTTGACTGATTAGAGCATGCTACACCCAGGTGTAAACCCAGAAACTAAATCAAGTAAAAGAAGTAGGACCAAAGCAAAGGATCAAAACACTGTCAGGAGTGACAAGAAGTACCTGAAATGACAGTTCAGTAGCTGACTTAGTAGGCAACTGATGTGGTTTGAGCAGGGGAGAAGCATTCCGGAATCAATGAGCCCATGAGTAATACATCAATAAAATACTTACTGTGTTGATTAGTTTGACGTTACTATACCTACAGTATAAAGCTTAAAGTCATCCAATAGAAGATCAACAAGAAGGTAAATAATTGGAAACAAAATATAGTAACTAAATCCATAGTAAATAAAAAGCAGTACCAAAACTGGGGGCTGACTATTACAATAAATCTTTCCACCAAAAGCTGCCTGAGCCCCACAGCCATGTGTGAGCTTTACACCAGCCGCCCACCCGAGTTAGGCCCAAATGAATACACAGAAGCTTGTATTAGGTTCAAAGCTGCTTGGCCAAAGACTAGGATTCCTCATCTGCTAGCTCAGTCTTAATTATCATAAATCTATATATTTTATAAGACTTGTCTTATTGGACACCTTATTGGTGTCCCTCCTTGCCGGTGGATCACATCCTGCTGCTGGAGGAGGAAGGGGAAAAGAGGACCCTTCCTGTTTCTCCTTCACTTAAATATGAATCTCCTTGCTATGTCACTTCCTGCCTGGATCACCACTTCTCTACTACATTTCCCAGAATCCTTTTTGACTCCTAGTCCGGTCTAACTTGCTGTCTCATTGGCCAAACAGTATTTTATTTAACAATCAATAAGATAAACATACACAGTACATTCCCCATCATCTCCACTTTTCTGTCTAAATAAAAAGGATCACTTGTCTTTTATAATAACTGAAGAAAACTATAGCTAACTGTCTTCAACTCTATCAAAGACCATAGAAGGATAATATATAAATTCTAGAATTGACAGAGACATCTGCTACTTGGACAGTCACCCAAAGTTCCTCTGTAACTTTGGGGCATCCATCTTCAGCCTATAGGCCACAGTGTGGCTGG